TTACCAGGAGGAGGCTCACTTTACTCAAAGATCCCGTCAAAGGACTAGTCTTTTCCATTCGCATAAACTTAATTGTTAGTTAATGCGCTTCTAATCAAATTATTAAAATTTTATGTACCTTAAGTTCATGCAGATACCTGAGCGTTATTACGGTTTTCCTAATTATCTGCATATTTAGAGAAATATATTTTGAATGCTATATGCTAAATATATTATAATGTGTAGTATATTTCATATAGGCTTTATATAAACGATCCAATTAATGTCTACCTTAAAGGAGAGGGATTTTTTAAAGTCCGGGTTGCATTCCAGCAAAACCTTTCTATATCAACACGAACAGTTTGCTTAAAAATACACTTTCTAAACAACTCTTCCCACATTCGTGTATAGTAGTTTCAGGAGGGATACATCTCATCCTTCATCTAAATACCAAGCCCTGAGCCTTGGTAATGGGAATTGCTGAATTTTCGATACATTTTGTTTATTCATTTTGAAATAAATGGTTTGAAAGCCCCTTGATACTCACTCACCAGCTTTCCTTTGATTGCAAAATGCAACTAAGCCAAGTTCACATTGCACCTGACCTGGCTCGGTGTTTTCCCGGACAAATCCCTTGACGACATTCTCCGAATGTATCCTTAAAACTGTTTTTGCACACTTAACTTGCCGAGTGACAAGTAATCCGGGCTTAAGTGGGGAATTCATTGAGTGAATCAACAGTAAACAAGGGAAAACGAGTCCTTTCGAAGGATATTTGCATTGAAAACAAATTAAGATGCGCCTGTTCCCTGCTCCACACTCGATTATCACTTTTGCCTGGCAGGCAGTTCACAAATCATTTGTTTACACGGTGCTCTGCTCTTTGTTTTTACTCTTATTCGGTCCTTCCGCTTAAGTGATGTCAATCAATTAAATTTACACACCAGGACGAAGGACGAAGGACCTGCAGGGAAACCACACCCACTGGCATCGCTTATACATTTTTCATGATACCCGCGTATGTCCTCCCGCTCCCAGGACTTTTCCCGGGTAGGAAAAGTGCTTCGGCAAAAAATTTGTAAACGTGTTTATCTTGTTTCGTCCTGTCTGTCTCCGACTCCGACTCCGTCCTGGTTTCCGTCTCCTTGTGGGAAAAGTAAGCTTATGAGTGGTTGGGTGGGGCAGAGTGGGCGGGAAAGTGGCACCGGATAAGCCCGGGTGAAAACAGAAAATAAAATAAAACTGGGGAACCGAGACAACACAATAACATTTGCATTTGGCTGAGGTGTAATGCCTAAGCTTTATGGCAAGCGTTATTCTTATTTTAGCCGGAATTGCAGCATTTTCATTTAGCTGACTTTTAAGGCCAGCAAAATGTTTATGGCTCAACTGATTAGTCGAGCATTAAGCCAAAAGACTAACCATGACTTTGTTTCAGGATAATTTGGAATGATCTTCCTATTTCCAGCAAATCTACCTTTCTCTTTAGTTTCCTTTTCGTCAGAGAACTAATTCTAAATCCGTTTAGCTGCAGATTGGATCCTTAAATGGTTCAATTTTGAATTAATTTCTCCAAAGAACTGAACTCTTGACTAGCAGATGCGTAACTCTTTCCTTTCGATCCATATTCTCTGCAATGTAGGACCTCAAAAGGAAGTTAATTCCGAAATATATGTAGATATATACTTTCCGTATCTAGGAGGACGATGTGAGTCCGACTTTATGAGCTGGCGCCCGAAAGAAACATGCAGGAGATTCTAGTTCCTAAAAGGGGTGACTGTGGTCAAAGCCTTTGGGGTGAAGTGCTTATCAGCTGAGCAGGGAAAGTGGAAAATTACAAAGTGAGTGGGTTGAGGGGGGTAGGGGTGAGGAAAAAGGGGGGAAAACTCTGCTGCCTTGATGGGGTCCCAAACATCTTGACTGACTGCACTTTATGGTTCATTTTGCATGCCTCAGATGAGCCGATGCCTGGGCCTGGACCCTGGAAAAGGGAAAATATCCGGCGGGGGAGAGGGAGAAGGGTTTCAGTTACATATAACCCAAGTTTAGTCAGGACTCTCTGCCTGGGATCCTTCCTGCTCCTCCCCAGGACCATGACTATGCGTTTCGGTATTTTTACTGCTACGTTCCCATTTGCGAGACAGAGAATTTTGAGTTGCCTTTTCATTTTTAATGCCGCATCTTGGTCTCGGACAATGTTTGAGGGGCGAAAGGCGAAAGGCGGGGGCAGGGGGCAGGGGGCGTGGCTGCAGGACCACAGGACTTGTGTGCGTTGTCCTTGCCTGCAGCGTTAAATTCTTGTTAAAATATTATGGAAACTTTTGTGCAATTCTTTTTGCGCTTTAAAGCAGAATTCAGCCGAAGAAATCTCTCTTGCCAGAAATTTCGTATCCTTTTTTCCCCCGGATTGCCAAGGCACTCAAAGGGACTTAGATCAACATGTTTGCACTTGCTAAAGCATCCCAAATTATGCTGAGCTTATAAAATTTGAATTTATATGTATAAAAACTCTCGAATATGGACCACATTTGCACTTCTTGTCACTCTAAAGATGCAGAATAGTCAATTAATTAGGCATAACATCATAACTTTGATTCTTCACCTAAAATATTAAATACAAATTGAATTTTGAATTACAGTTTATTGTAGTAGAGTAATTCGTTTGGTCTGCATTGCAGACTCCTCAAATAATTTGGCTACATAGGTGAATTTCCACAATCCCAGATGGAAATGCTTCTTCGACTAGCAAGTATCTTTAAGAATTTCCCCGCGTTGCGTTGCAATTAGCCAAGATCCTTAAGGTCACACATTTTCCACTGAAGACCCAATTATTTCAGTTGATTTGGCCGGAATTGACGCGTCTCTGGTTCGCTTTGAGGCAGAAGTGGTCCTTAGGACTCAGAAACACTTAAAGGGGGCGGGTCGAAACCACCTCAATCGCACCCCCTCGCTTTTCCTACTCGCTTCTCACTTGACGGCCTTCACGGCCACTGTCGCACCTAATTAGGCCAATTAAATTTAGCTGCAAATTACACACACATTAAATGTGTAAATTGGGCGGCCAGCTGAAATTGAAATTAAATGCATGTCGCATGTGGCATGTGGCTGTGGCAAGACGAGTTTGGAGTGTGGGATGTGGGATGTGGGTGTGGAAGGTGCATCGCGTGCTGAGGCAGATGCACCTCGTTGACTTGGCTCCGGATTGGATTAGTCGGATGCACTGGCTCCGAGGGGATTATTAAATCGTGGGTTAAGTGGAGAGTGCAGAGTGCAAGCACGTCACGAATGCAATTGGATTATCTGGGATTAATTCAGTGACTCGAAGGTGTTGACCCGTAGAAAGCACAAAGCGAGCAATGAATAGCTAAGAAAGGACGAAGCATTAATCAGAGAGTAAAATAAATAGTTACATTTAATTCTGTACTCTTGATTAAAGTTCTTGATTAATTATCTAGTCAACTGTGTCCAGTTGGATCCATATTTATCGGGGCTGATCCATTACTTTAATTGGTAATAATTTACACTATATATTGATTTCTTTTTGCCTTTAATTTGCTATTCTCTCATTGGTTATATTCTGGTTCTGTACAACCCCTGAATATTCAAAAACTCCCTTTTCTTTAAATTTGACCACGAAAATGATCCCAGCACCGGATGGAGAGTTCATTAGGAGGCAGAATAGTGTGAAAATCCCTATTACCGGTCCTAATTAAACCCTCCTTTTTCTGGAAAATACTGGGACCCATTCTCTAATTCAATTACCGGTCCCTCCATTCAATTTCCGATGCCACTCACCTGATTTTGATTACCAGCCGCCGCGGAAAGCGTGATACGAATCTGAAGCCGGGTTTTTGATTACAAACTTAACTTTCTTTGTATTTTTGTGTATTATTTATTTTGCTGCTGAATTAGTATTTTGGGACACTTTAAAAAATAAGAGTTGAGCGTTGTTAACTGTTGCGACACTGTCAAAAAATAAGCTATTTCGAAACGAATTCGGAATTATTGAACTGGTGTCCTTTCCCGGTTTCACTTTTCGACTTTTGTCAGTCCGCCACAGAACCGTTGGTCAGGACATTCGCAAGCGAACTACGTGTTGGAGGAAAACATTCGCCAAGTGGGCTAAAGACCAAAACAAAACACAGGACGAAATGCCGAACCGAAGGATTCGAAGGACCCGAAGCCTTCCACTCAATTGCTCGTCTACTCACGAGGTACTGATTTGAGAGAAGCTAAGGACACTGGCACTCAAAATGAATGAGTTTCCATTCATTCCGGCATTCGTGGGTCGGCTTCGTTGGCTTTGTTTACAAATACTTTTCCGGCCTCGTGTCCTTTGGGAATGAATTTGCATGCGCGCCTGTTGCGTGCCATGCCGCTTCCTATTCTCTCTCAATATTTTATATTTTCAGTCGCAATCTCATTAAAAATACAATTTTCAAGGTCCTTGAATATGATTAGCTTGCATTGTTTGAATATTCATAAATATTAATAAGAGAAAAGTAAAGAAAATCATTTAAAAAGATCTGAACTTGAAGACTAAGAATTGCTTTAGAAAATATTCAAGTAATGAATTGCTCCTTACATTATTATTTTGTGTATTGCCAGCATAAAATGTTAATTAATTAAATTTGTTGCGAAATGGAGAAGCTTTTTTAGATGCTTGCAAATAATATCAAAAGAAATGCTCAATTAAAATATGCAACAAATCGACAATGATAAATTCATATAAATAACTCAGCGACCAATAACATAAAATATTTGATGAAACCATCTATTTTCTTATATTTAGCTTCGACTTGTAACATTTTCCTCAAACTCTCAGTCGCCTCGGGAGTGTTGTGAGTGTTTTTCACTCAACTCAAAAGTCGAGTCTCTGCCTCGTGTTCCGATGAGCATTTGACTCGAAGGCTTCGGGTCCTTCGGTTCGGCATTTCGTCCTGTGTTTTGGTTTGGTCTTTAGCCCACTTGGCGAATGTTTTCCTCCAACACGTAGTTCGCTTGCGAATGTCCTGACCAACGGTTCTGTGGCGGACTGACAAAAGTCGAAAAGTGAAACCGGGAAAGGACAATAATTCCGAATTCGTTTCGAAATAGCTTATTTTTTGACAGTGTCGCGACAGTTAACAACGCTCAACTCTTATTTTTTAAAGTGTCCCAAAATACTAATTCAGCAGCAAAATAAATAATACACAAAAATACAAAGAAAGTTAAGTTTGTAATCAAAAACCCGGCTTCAGATTCGTATCACGCTTTCCGCGGCGGCTGGTAATCAAAATCAGGTGAGTGGCATCGGAAATTGAATGGAGGGACCGGTAATTGAATTAGAGAATGGGTCCCAGTATTTTCCAGAAAAAGGAGGGTTTAATTAGGACCGGTAATAGGGATTTTCACACTATTCTGCCTCCTAATGAACTCTCCATCCGGTGCTGGGATCATTTTCGTGGTCAAATTTAAAGAAAAGGGAGTTTTTGAATATTCAGGGGTTGTACAGAACCAGAATATAACCAATGAGAGAATAGCAAATTAAAGGCAAAAAGAAATCAATATATAGTGTAAATTATTACCAATTAAAGTAATGGATCAGCCCCGATAAATATGGATCCAACTGGACACAGTTGACTAGATAATTAATCAAGAACTTTAATCAAGAGTACAGAATTAAATGTAACTATTTATTTTACTCTCTGATTAATGCTTCGTCCTTTCTTAGCTATTCATTGCTCGCTTTGTGCTTTCTACGGGTCAACACCTTCGAGTCACTGAATTAATCCCAGATAATCCAATTGCATTCGTGACGTGCTTGCACTCTGCACTCTCCACTTAACTCACGATTTAATAATCCCCTCGGAGCCAGTGCATCCGACTAATCCAATCCGGAGCCAAGTCAACGAGGTGCATCTGCCTCAGCACGCGATGCACCTTCCACACCCACATCCCACACTCCAAACTCGTCTTGCCACAGCCACATGCCACATGCGACATGCATTTAATTTCAATTTCAGCTGGCCGCCCAATTTACACATTTAATGTGTGTGTAATTTGCAGCTAAATTTAATTGGCCTAATTAGGTGCGACAGTGGCCGTGAAGGCCGTCAAGTGAGAAGCGAGTAGGAAAAGCGAGCGGGTGCGATTGAGGTGGTTTCGACCCGCCCCCTTTAAGTGTTTCTGAGTCCTAAGGACCACTTCTGCCTCAAAGCGAACCAGAGACGCGTCAATTCCGGCCAAATCAACTGAAATAATTGGGTCTTCAGTGGAAAATGTGTGACCTTAAGGATCTTGGCTAATTGCAACGCAACGCGGGGAAATTCTTAAAGATACTTGCTAGTCGAAGAAGCATTTCCATCTGGGATTGTGGAAATTCACCTATGTAGCCAAATTATTTGAGGAGTCTGCAATGCAGACCAAACGAATTACTCTACTACAATAAACTGTAATTCAAAATTCAATTTGTATTTAATATTTTAGGTGAAGAATCAAAGTTATGATGTTATGCCTAATTAATTGACTATTCTGCATCTTTAGAGTGACAAGAAGTGCAAATGTGGTCCATATTCGAGAGTTTTTATACATATAAATTCAAATTTTATAAGCTCAGCATAATTTGGGATGCTTTAGCAAGTGCAAACATGTTGATCTAAGTCCCTTTGAGTGCCTTGGCAATCCGGGGGAAAAAAGGATACGAAATTTCTGGCAAGAGAGATTTCTTCGGCTGAATTCTGCTTTAAAGCGCAAAAAGAATTGCACAAAAGTTTCCATAATATTTTAACAAGAATTTAACGCTGCAGGCAAGGACAACGCACACAAGTCCTGTGGTCCTGCAGCCACGCCCCCTGCCCCCTGCCCCCGCCTTTCGCCTTTCGCCCCTCAAACATTGTCCGAGACCAAGATGCGGCATTAAAAATGAAAAGGCAACTCAAAATTCTCTGTCTCGCAAATGGGAACGTAGCAGTAAAAATACCGAAACGCATAGTCATGGTCCTGGGGAGGAGCAGGAAGGATCCCAGGCAGAGAGTCCTGACTAAACTTGGGTTATATGTAACTGAAACCCTTCTCCCTCTCCCCCGCCGGATATTTTCCCTTTTCCAGGGTCCAGGCCCAGGCATCGGCTCATCTGAGGCATGCAAAATGAACCATAAAGTGCAGTCAGTCAAGATGTTTGGGACCCCATCAAGGCAGCAGAGTTTTCCCCCCTTTTTCCTCACCCCTACCCCCCTCAACCCACTCACTTTGTAATTTTCCACTTTCCCTGCTCAGCTGATAAGCACTTCACCCCAAAGGCTTTGACCACAGTCACCCCTTTTAGGAACTAGAATCTCCTGCATGTTTCTTTCGGGCGCCAGCTCATAAAGTCGGACTCACATCGTCCTCCTAGATACGGAAAGTATATATCTACATATATTTCGGAATTAACTTCCTTTTGAGGTCCTACATTGCAGAGAATATGGATCGAAAGGAAAGAGTTACGCATCTGCTAGTCAAGAGTTCAGTTCTTTGGAGAAATTAATTCAAAATTGAACCATTTAAGGATCCAATCTGCAGCTAAACGGATTTAGAATTAGTTCTCTGACGAAAAGGAAACTAAAGAGAAAGGTAGATTTGCTGGAAATAGGAAGATCATTCCAAATTATCCTGAAACAAAGTCATGGTTAGTCTTTTGGCTTAATGCTCGACTAATCAGTTGAGCCATAAACATTTTGCTGGCCTTAAAAGTCAGCTAAATGAAAATGCTGCAATTCCGGCTAAAATAAGAATAACGCTTGCCATAAAGCTTAGGCATTACACCTCAGCCAAATGCAAATGTTATTGTGTTGTCTCGGTTCCCCAGTTTTATTTTATTTTCTGTTTTCACCCGGGCTTATCCGGTGCCACTTTCCCGCCCACTCTGCCCCACCCAACCACTCATAAGCTTACTTTTCCCACAAGGAGACGGAAACCAGGACGGAGTCGGAGTCGGAGACAGACAGGACGAAACAAGATAAACACGTTTACAAATTTTTTGCCGAAGCACTTTTCCTACCCGGGAAAAGTCCTGGGAGCGGGAGGACATACGCGGGTATCATGAAAAATGTATAAGCGATGCCAGTGGGTGTGGTTTCCCTGCAGGTCCTTCGTCCTTCGTCCTGGTGTGTAAATTTAATTGATTGACATCACTTAAGCGGAAGGACCGAATAAGAGTAAAAACAAAGAGCAGAGCACCGTGTAAACAAATGATTTGTGAACTGCCTGCCAGGCAAAAGTGATAATCGAGTGTGGAGCAGGGAACAGGCGCATCTTAATTTGTTTTCAATGCAAATATCCTTCGAAAGGACTCGTTTTCCCTTGTTTACTGTTGATTCACTCAATGAATTCCCCACTTAAGCCCGGATTACTTGTCACTCGGCAAGTTAAGTGTGCAAAAACAGTTTTAAGGATACATTCGGAGAATGTCGTCAAGGGATTTGTCCGGGAAAACACCGAGCCAGGTCAGGTGCAATGTGAACTTGGCTTAGTTGCATTTTGCAATCAAAGGAAAGCTGGTGAGTGAGTATCAAGGGGCTTTCAAACCATTTATTTCAAAATGAATAAACAAAATGTATCGAAAATTCAGCAATTCCCATTACCAAGGCTCAGGGCTTGGTATTTAGATGAAGGATGAGATGTATCCCTCCTGAAACTACTATACACGAATGTGGGAAGAGTTGTTTAGAAAGTGTATTTTTAAGCAAACTGTTCGTGTTGATATAGAAAGGTTTTGCTGGAATGCAACCCGGACTTTAAAAAATCCCTCTCCTTTAAGGTAGACATTAATTGGATCGTTTATATAAAGCCTATATGAAATATACTACACATTATAATATATTTAGCATATAGCATTCAAAATATATTTCTCTAAATATGCAGATAATTAGGAAAACCGTAATAACGCTCAGGTATCTGCATGAACTTAAGGTACATAAAATTTTAATAATTTGATTAGAAGCGCATTAACTAACAATTAAGTTTATGCGAATGGAAAAGACTAGTCCTTTGACGGGATCTTTGAGTAAAGTGAGCCTCCTCCTGGTAATCCACATCCATTGCATAGGCCACGTCATCCTTTTGGAGTCCAAGTGCACTATCACAATCACGTTCACCATAGATGTTAACACTAGGTACCCCTAGGACAGACTGAATCGCGCGCGACCCTAGTACCTCTATTTATACCTCCCGAGAAGAGAGCAGAGAAATTGAGAGCGAGAGGGAAAGAGCCTTCTCCAGAGAAAGGCAGCGGAAGAGGCACCTCTAGAGATGCACAGAGGCACACCAAATGAGCAAGAGGGAGAGGGAGCGAGATAGAGCTAGCGCTAGAGGGAGAGAGGGAGAGCTAGTGCTAGTGCTAGAGCTAGAGCTAGGTTTCTGGGAAAGCCCTCTCTCATATTTCGAAGGTAGCCAGGGACAAAGTATTCCCCAATTATATAGATGGATAGGTCTGGCCTACTTGTCTCTTGTCCCCGATGAAATATGAAATGTCGCCGAGACGCAAAGGAATGTCTTCCTCACAATTAGTTAATTAAGTTAAACTCGCGTTGTTGCTGGCACATCGAGCATCATCTCATCCTGGCTGCTCATCGGAGTTATCGAGATGAAAGCGAATGGGCCTTCTTGGGCTTCTTGGAAGCGAGGAGAACGAGTGGAAGACAGACAGAATTGCTTTGAAGTGCTCATCCACACATCTCCTTGTGCCGTGTCTCTATGTCCTCTGTCTCTAAGTCCTTATGTATATCTGTAATTCTGTATTTCAGTCTGTGTTTTTGGTGCTTTGTGGCTTTCGGCGATTGCCGCCGCTGCTACATGCTAATCGAGTGAGGTTCTGGCACTCAGCCACAGGTCGGGTCGAGTGGCTGTGCCTCCCTTCAGGCACTCGTAAATAATTGATTAATAAATTACAAACAGTTTCGCGTCTGCAATTGCCTCGCAGCTGAACTTGATAGTATATATTCCGCAGGGTAAGGGGTGTGGCTTGAGTTGCCCAGAAGCCACTTGAATTTCGGTTAGAAGTTTAAGGTGTTTCTTCATATTTACTATTCCAAGACAAAGGTGGAATTAACTGTGAAATCTAGAGGATAATTCTCTTATATGTGCAACATAATATGGCAAGAGAAACTTGTACTATCAATTACTACAATTTACTAGTTAATTAGCTATTTTATCCCGGGTTTAACTGGGCTATATATACTTTCAATTTACACCACTTTTATATAGAGTAGACTTTCAACTTGAATTCCTTTCAACTTTACTGACTTCATTCAACCCTCAGCTA